GCGCCAGATATTTGGTCGGAGGTCTTGCGGTACATGCTAATTTTGGCTAACCGTAGAGTTGAATGTTTCTACGGAAGCCTTGTGCGTTAATATTTTTTTCAATCCATTAAAATCTGGTTGCATGCGTTACGGACACAACAGAACCTGCTATTTGCAAATCATACAGCAAATTCCCCAACCCATGAAACCTCAACCGAAATGTTTTTTGGATCCGAACATATTGATTAAGTATGGCTGTAGTGATGCTTATCATGCAGCCTAATCTCAATATATTTAAGTCACGTCAGGTTGCCGGCTTTTGCACAAGCATCCTTCTGACCACCGGAAAAAGTATATTATGTAAAAAATGATTACTTAATTGGTATGCATTGTTCTCATTGATTTTCGCTGTCCTGACCTAAGTGGTATACATTTTCCTTTTTCACTGCCCTTATAAATTAGAATATATTTCCTAAAAGTTGTGAACAAAAATGTTCTTTGTGCTCGTTTGGTAGCAAATTGCCCTTTATTCAGATTGGATACCTAAAGAGAGGGTATATTTCGGTTTTAAAAATTGTTTCTGATCATGATATTTTTCAAGAGCGTGAAATGTACATCCGTAAAGCAACGTATCTATTATGACGCCGATTGCACCTTTTAGCCGTATAACCAAACCACATATTCGTGACCTCAGCACCTTAGTTGCCATTTGTCATTTGTGAGAGATACGCACCCATGGTAAGCATATACTCCTACTCTCTTTGATTTGTTTTTTTTTCTATTTCAGTCAGATTGCATGAGGGAGGCTTTTTCAGAATTGGATGTGACGAGTGAAGTTCTCGAAGTTGTCGTCATCCCTCCACCACTGCCTCAGCCGCGTCTGCGCCTTACCACCTACGGCTACACGGGCACCGTGCACTATGATTTTCCCCGGGACTCGGACCCGGTTGAAGTGTTTGAGTGCTCCGCTCCGGATGCCCTCCTGGCTCGTTACCGGCTTTCTCTTTTGCGACCCGCCACAAATCGGGCACTAGCACTTTCCTCGCGTGTCTGTATTCGCATGAATGAGCGCGGCTTCCTGTCTCTGCAGTACATGATCACTTCTCTGCACCACAATGATACGCAAGCCTCCTTTGTAGAATTCTTTGTAAGTAATCGATTTTTTGACTCTTCAAGGTTTTCAGTATTTCTTAATCTGTGTGTAGTAGTATGACCGGTTTCGATGAAGTCCACCATGTGTTCAAGAGCAGAGACGGTAATGGAGCTCGGTACGAGATTATAGTTAAATAAGACGCGCAAGTGTCTACCCTAACCGCTTTGCCCAATGACAAGACCGAAGTTGAGATGACCGAAGCAGGCTTCGGGCGAAAGCCGCTTTTTCCAATGCAGCCTGAAACAACGCCTAACTTAGCCTTTAGTGGCAGTAGACTTTGCGCGGGTACTACTGCACTGTCTGCCCTCACTCACCTATAGAAGGTGTCCAGCCAGACTTTAGTAGGCCATGACTGGTACTGCTACTACAAATACTGCTACTTCTAGTACTACTTACTAGGGTGCAGCTGAGTGATTGTATTTACTGGTACTATTACTGAATATTTTGTAAGTCAGGAGTGACACTGATTAAAGTCAGCACTGGGCCCATATCCCCTCAATCTCGGCAGGAAGTGTAGTAGTACTGGTGCTGGCACCGACGCCACCATTTGTCATAGATGACGCTGATTTAGCCAACGCTAAGGCTCATATTCCCTTGGTCTCAACAAGGAGTGTGACCCTTGGTTTAACTATTTCGGGTAAGTACATGCTTGGGGTTCTGAGCACAGCAGCGTTT